GTCTTATAAACTCCATTATCACTTCAGCTATTCAGAGGTGTTGAATAACTTAATACTGAATCACAGTTTCTTTGTGTAGATTTGATGAGGTTAAAATCCTCGAGAAGCACCTGTATTTGTATCAGTTAGTGCTTGGCTTTCCTCAATAGGTGTTCAGTAAATGTTTCTACAAAGAATGGGTAGATGGTGAAAGGAAGTGCTAAATGATGAAAGAAACTAAATGGGCATTGGGAGTTACAGTGCTTTTGTGAGTCTAGATTTTTGTTAAGGAAAGCAGTGATGCTTTTACATATATATAATTTTTGTTGTTTAGATAATTTTTAATCGGATTGTTCATATTTTTTTAAGCAACATAGTCCTCAGTTTTAGCTTTCTTACTCTATATTTGAGCACAAGATATATTCTCTATATCATTTAATATTTCTTAGAACATTTTGATACTTTTTGTATTCATAATGAAAAAATGTTCATCTCACCATCTCAAAATCACTCTCTCAATTCCTGTCTTCTCTACTAGATGTCATTTTTTTTTTATTTCTTCAGGCAGCTTATTTCTACTCTTTATATTTAAAATATATGTAATGGAAATAGAGTAAGGTAAACTTATCTGTTTTGTGAGAACGTTAGCACTTAATGGCCACAATTCTAGAGTTAAGTTATATATTATGGGGCTTTTCTTAAGTGGGAAAATGTTTTCCAAGTCTTTCAAACAAGTGTCATCAAAACATTTTTGGTACACTATTTATAAACGTCATGCCAAATGTTGGGTAGGGGGTAAATTACGTGATTTTAAAACTTCAAGATTGTGTACTTTTATGTGCTACCATATGTAAGCTTTTTGTCTTTTAAAATAGATATTGGGTAGGTGGTACTCTGTCTTATTCAGTATACCATCAATAGTCATGAATAAATAGGTAGTCTTTCCTGAAAATATGAATTTAGAGAATCAGATATTCAAACAAAGGCAAAGCCAGAAGTTGGAGGAGGAGGATGAGCAGGGGAGTTTATCAAGATGAAAAATAGATATTGATTTCCATGAAAAAAATGTCACACAGATTGGTGAATTGGTAGTGACTAGAGACAGGTAAAATGGTATTAAACTTTTCTCTCAAAAAAAAAAAAGAAAGAAAGAAAGGGGAGGGGAAGAGTAGGAAAAAAAAGAAGAGAAACTTTTCTCTCTACCCAACTCCACAGTTTTCTAGTGACGTAAAAGCTGAGTAGTTCAGTTAACAGTCTCATTTGTAGAATTTTGAGAGAACAGGCTTATTCTTTGTTTCTTTAGCAACTTGCTTAGTGTTTGCCACATTGTAGGTACCAAATAAGGGTTGAGTAAATAAAACATACACTGTTAGTAACAGTACAACTAGTTGTATGTGCACATTATTTACTTCCATAACTATAAAATGAGTTACTAGATTAGGAAGGGCAAACCTATACCATTATAGGTTATACTAGTATAGGTTACCATTAGAACTTATGGCAATATAGTATATATGGAAAAAGTGTTTTCTGGGTTTTATAAAACAAACATTAACAACAGATCTTGGCACTTCTTATAAATGTGGTCTATATTTTGCTTCAGTTTTGTTAATTTTTTAGACTATAGAAGACATTCAATAAGATACAGATAGTGTATCTTATGTGTATTGAAGTTCAAAGATGCACTTTAGTTTGCTCAAATTAACTTTATTAACAGGTACAAATTTGCTGTTTACAATTATAGAATTCTGATTTTTTATGTCAGATGGATTTACTGCAGGAATTCTATGAAACAACACTGGAAGCTTTGAAAGATGCTAAGAATGATAGACTGTGGTTTAAGACAAACACAAAGGTAACAGTTACAAGTACTTACAATTTTTTCTTTTGAAAAGTGGGTGGGTGTCCTTAATCCTCCTAAAGCTACACACCTTCTCATGTTGAAATCTTGTTATTTTAATAAGTTTACTTTCTTTCAGCTTGGAAAATTATATTTAGAACGAGAGGAATACGGAAAGCTTCAAAAAATTTTACGCCAGTTACATCAATCCTGCCAGGTAGCATTCCCTTATTTTTTCTTAATATTCCTTCTTCATAATAAAAAAGCATAAGAAATAATAATATTCTGATATTGGTTAGGGA